GAGAACTTTTGGATTTTTGAATTTGCCCATTGTGAGTGTTTGTGTGCATGTGTGTTCATCCTTTTGCTTTCTTTTCGCTGTGGTGTTAAATGATGCATCACGCATCTGGCTGGCTTTAGATCAGCTTTCAGCTCCCACATTGCCATCTGATCCTATTCCAGGTCCATGGTCACAGGATAGACGATCTTAGTAATTATGCCATGGCAGAGGATCAGCTGGTGGTAGAGAAAGCCTGCAGCTTCTGATCTTTAACAGATCACATGTTTGCTGTGTGTGTACTCTCATATATTAAGTGAACCTATGTCTCATAAAATTGCAGAGAGAGTTTTGAGGGTGGTGTCTTTTCTTTTTGTCTGAATGGATGAAGCATTTGTTGTATCTGCTCCGATGGAAGCTGCAGTAGTTTGCATGTCCAGCTCAGTGTACACTAACATAATAGTGGCTCTGTCCCACTCCTCATCAGCCTGTGTTATAAGTGTTGATGAAAGATTAAACACAATCATGTTAGTAGGGAATAACTGTCTGACCACATTTTTCTTTATTAGACTTGATAAATGTATACAAGAGCTACAATGCAACACAAGACCAAGACCAATACAGTTTCTTTATTTCTATGTCTTCGGGACTATCAGCTGGTGAGAGTATTAACTTTTTGTCTGGGTGATGTGTAAATCTAATATAATTGTTTGTTTTTAGATCAGTGTTCTTGTCATCTTAAAACATAAAAATACTGGATGGAGAAAGTGTCTCACCATATCAGGTGCAGACCTTCTTACAATGCATCTTAAGATGCATTCACACCTACAGACCCAAATTTCGTATCCCTTTTATTTTAAGTTTTGTAGAGTTTGACAAAAAAATGTATGTCAAAGCAAAACCCAAATGATGCTGTCATATTAGATGCAGTTCACCATCCCCCTTTTGTATAATCCTGCCCTGCTGGACTAACTGCTGGACAAAAGAGTCATGGTTTACAGACGGTGGTAAAAGAGGCCTTGAGGCTTTCACAGGTCAGGGATCGTGTTACAAAATGTTAGATAATACCCAGAAAATAGGTCTAGACTCCATGGATTAAATATAAATGTAAGGATCACTGTGGTGAATGTGTTTATGTGTGTGGTTGTGGTTGTGTGTGTGTGTGTGTGTGTGTGTCTGTGTGTATATTCATAAAAAGAAAATGTTCTTGTTTTTTGAGACAGGCAAGGAGAAAAATTAGACAAACTGATGAATTGAGCCAAGAGGACAATTCATATTCATCATATTTAATGTTTATCTCTTAAACACAGTTTGGGAAATCGGACATTACAACTAAATACTGTTTCTAGTTTCAAATGTTATTGCTTTAACAAGGTGGGACATCCCTTAACCCTCAAGAAGAGTCAGGACATTTACTAACAATAAACCTATTATGAATATAGTTGTCAGCACTTCCTCTCCACTCTGCTCACTGTGCGTTTTTAAGGGTGTGTGTACATGTGAGTATTGCATATGCAGCCAAGCCAATTCTACTAGTTCTAATCAAATGAATTAGAATAAAAGGTCCCTAGCAAAAACTTTCATCAAAAACCTTCTACAGCTGAGGTAAACAAAAGCTCTGGCCAGTATTTGAAGAAATATGGTCATTGAGTATCCAGCTGGACTTCAGTGGGAGCCCTGAATACGTAAGTGTAACCAAGACGAACCTTAGGAATGACTTGCATATACATAAAAACATATCTTCTCTAATTACATCTTCATAAAACTTACAGTAAATGAAAAGTCTTTTTTAGGAGACTCAAAGTAGTGCATAGTTTTTGTTCCTACAAAAGATGTTTCGCAAACATTCACAGTGCAGCTTGCAAAGTATGCAAACCTGTTGCCTCATGAAATTAATATAAGTAAATTGGAGTGAGGAGTTGGCAAACCTGGAGTCCAATCAATGAAACCAGACTGGATGTGTGTGATGTAGCTCTGACTCAAGCTAAACACAGTCAAACATTTTGAGTTTGTCATGTGCTGATGTGAACAATGTTTTGCAAGAGATCTCAGAAGGCCATCAGTTAATACTGTTTAATTTGTATAAAGCTAGAGAGAGTTACAGAGAAGTCTGATGACTTTAGATACTGATCAGATGATTCTGTGGCTGCTCTCTTAGCTAAGATGATTCGTAAGGCAAAAGACAGGATGTTCAACAGGCTGCTACACACTAAAGGATAATTTAGCCAATTTTAGACTTGATTCTTACCAGATCCAGATAATGCTGAAGTGTGAGGTGTTCACAAAATAATCTTATTTCTACTGATTGAGTTGGAGCCTCCCTGATCTGGAGGTGACAGGAACCCACAATAGACCAGATGTTGTGTACTTGTACAACTGCGACTAAAACAACAATACATTTCCAGTTCACCTCCAGCAAAATGTTTAAAATGGCAGATCCTGTATCGTGCTGGCATCTGATTGTAGTGGTGGACCATGATTGAGGTGGCATCTGATAGTGGGTCCTGATGGACAGTGGATCATGATGATGGATTGTGGACTATGACGGCACCTGATCGTGGACTATGATTACAACATGACTGCTTGATATACAATATGTATACTCAGATACCCTTAACATTATTGACAATAATTCCTTAATTCATAATTCCATTATGCTACAAACTGTTTATTCTAAACAATGCTGTAAATACTCTTTTTTCTCCTGGGAGAGGGATCCCTCACATGTGACTCTCTCTGAGGTTTCTATGTTATTTTTCCCATGTTTTTTTTTGTAGTTTTTCCTTGTTGAGGGTAAAGGGTAGAGGATGTCACACCTTGTTAAAGCCCTATGAGACATATTTGTGATTTGTGAATATGGGCTATACAAATATAATAATATATACAATTTGATTGATTGATTGATTGAACTGTATGGTTATAACTAGTGTGCCATAACTAGTGTGCACTAGCCTTTCAAAGAGCCCCAGAGTCAAGGTTAAAGGCTTAAAGGAATAATTGGTTCTGCTAATATCATGTTCTTGAGTTCTTCATTCAAACAAATAATGGTGCATGATTGCATTGATCATGGTGTCCATGGCAGAGACCATGATCCCCCCTCCCCCCCACACACACACACACACATAAAGCCACCAGTGCATTTGCATGGTGGAGGGACTATCATTATTTGGGGCTATGCCGTCTCTAGGCCTTTAAAAACCTTCAATGGGGGGGGGGGGATTAATTCCCCAATTTATCAGGGTGTCTTACAGGCTAATGTCGGGGTAAATCTACTACAGAACGACTTCAAACTTAAAATCCACCTTAACCCAATAGAGATGCTGTGAAATGAGCCCCAGAGAGTCGTTCACAGCAGACATGCTGAGAATGTGCCTGAGCTGAAGCACTTGTGTAGTTTCTGAGGTTATTGCTGCCAAAGGAGGTTCAACTAAATCCAAAGGCTTCTCATGCTCTTTCTCCCAGCACAGTGAATGTTTAACGGGTGTGTTCAAAGAGACACTTATTATTTTAGCTTGTGTGGTATTAGCTTATCTTAGGTTATAGGCTTATATTAGGTTGCCTGCACCGATGGCGTACGGTAGACAGGATCAGATCACATTTTACAAATTTCACAAAGCTTATCTTACCAATTGCAAGGTTCAGATTTTGAGAGGCAATAAGAACGTGTGGAATCAATGAAAAAATGTTAGCTGTGTTTCAGAGGTCATCTCCTTCGGTGGGCTGAACAGAAATGAAACAGTGTTGTCTATGGAGGGTTTCCTCGATACTTACTGCTGTATCCTAGCAACAGATCTGCAGTTGGATATGATGAGAAAGTTTTAATGCCCCTTGATACATACTGTTAGGTGTTCTTGTGACTTGAAGCATGACACTCAAGCATCGGATGTCTTGTCGCTCACTGGCGCCATTAACTCTTTTAAAAATGGTTTGTCAATAAACACAATGAATCCTGGGATAGGTTGGACCAGGAGGGATCCACCCATTTATTGGGGATGGAAGGACGCATTTTATCAGCCACATTTGGAGGAGTCTTTGAAATGGGGCAGTCTAGTCATGCTACTGTGAGCTAAATGCAGCCTCCGCATGCAGATCCTTAGTTGAGCCACAGCTCTTATCTCTGGTTTCTTTGCATTAGTTTTAAGATTTTTATCTATTCAGTTTTATTGTGATGACAAGACTTTACAGGCTATCCTGTTTGGGATCATAATGTTAACCACCATTCCTCAACAACTCTGACTGTGGCCCACTAAACAGAAGGTCAATGGTTTGATCCCTGGCTTGTCCAGTTTGCATTCTGAAGTGTCCTTGAGCAAGACACTGTGAACAAATTGCCTTGGTGGCTGTGCTGACAGTGTGTGAATGGTGTTGAAAAATAGTGCTGCATATATAAGCACTGCATGAATGTGTTCATGAACAGGTAAATGGGACTGATTGAGAGGTCAATAAGACTGAAAAAGTGCCATCTACATCCAGACCGTTTACCATTTAATTAAAGGGAACTGGAGGCCCTGAGATAATCTGAAGGATCACATAGAACTTTATTTTGTTATTTGTCTCTACATCTCTCTTGTTAAATTCTCACTATCTTGCACACCTCTAAATATCGCTCAAATGAGACAAATCCAAACACGAACCGCTCACAACCCATGATCACATGATGTCAATAGTCTGTGATGAGGGAACTGCTTCATTTGAAGAAGATCACAAGAAAAGTGCTGGGAACCCCTGCTGTATGTTATAAGCAATGAAAACTAGTGGGGTAACTTTTAGACAGGCTATAATAAAGTCCATTTCCCTGCCTCACTTATACTTGCAGATAATAACCTGGAGACTTTAATCAAAGCCGCTTTTTTAATGAAGCCGTATGTAAATTCAAATCTCCCTAAACTCCCCATTTCTCCTGTTCTATCATAATGAAGCCCATCTGCTCACATTCTCCCAGTTTTTATGGTTTGATCTTTTGGAGTACACACACACACACACACACATTAAATACTGTCATTCTCCTTCTCTTTCTCCACCAGTACCATCCTTCTGGGGTTTGGTGAACTCAGCCTGGAACCTGTGCACCATAGGGAAGAGACAGTCTCCAATCGACATTGAAACCAGCCACATGATCTTCGATCCCTACTTGACCCCTCTGAGGCTCAACACGGCAGGACGCAAGGTGAGGACCGCCATTGTTTAGACGACACCTGTATGTGGTTGAGAGCTCCTCCTCAGTGCCTTTCTCAAGGTCAGTGTCTTTTCAGAAGAGACACTGTCCAATGGATTTCAGCAGGACTGTTCTCTGACAGCGCTGGGCTTTAATTCATCACAGATGAGGAGTCGAACATGACACATTGTCTAAATCAAGACACAGAGACGATTCTGTCTAACAAAGACTATGAGCTTTCCATCCACACCCGAAGGCTTTGAAAATTCCTTGCTGCATTTCACTGCGCTAGGCTCAGGAGGTATTACAATCACAGCCCTCTACACAGCAATCACGGTTAATCTTTACAGGAAAAATCCTCTCTAAAGCACCGTGAATCACTGTAAAACACATTGCATCCTGGATTAATTTTTATGTTTAGTAGTGTATTCTAGTTCTTGGCCAGATTTTGATGAAATGAAATCTCTTCCCTTCCAGCTGAACTGCATGACTGCAGCCAAACAAGATCGACTACGATCACAAATACAGTTTCACTGACAAGTGAATAATATGCCTACTCACATGTACTACCATTATTGGCATTAGAATTTCCATTACTGCTCCTTTCATCTGTTTAGATACTTTAAAACTGATACACTCTATTTAACACAGAAGTATTATTGTAATTTGATTGATGTTCCCTGTTACACGTGACATCTATTGCACTTCAGTACATCCTTGGAGAGATTTGACTTACATGTGACTCTCCCTGAGGTGTCTACAGTTTTTTGTTTTGTTTTCCCTCACCCTTGTTGAGGATATCACACCTTGTTAACCCTTATGAGACAAATTGTGATTAGGGAATATAGTCTACACAATTTAAATGTGATTGATTGATGATAGATTGAAGATGTGACCTTGGAATTGTAGGGTTTTATTGTGAAATAAATGGTTTTCAGATTTAGGTTCAAAATATAAATATCCTTATGTACACTAAATTATAATTCCCCTTAGTATAAATACACTGAAAATATCTCACAAAATCAATATTCCAGTTTATTTTAAAACAAGGCTTTCTCTACATTCAAGGTTTCAGATTAAATCTTGAAACTCTGATATTACACATTCTGCTTGGTATTGTAAGGTTCTGTTTCCTAACAAAATACACAGATAAGTTATGATTAAATTATCACAAAAACACAGAGTGCTTTCAGGGGAAAGTCCAGGAGACAGTGTGGCTGAGGATCTGGCTGAGTGTGACAGAAACACACTGGACTGAATAATTAGGGCAAAAGGCAAACTTTCCAACAAGACAGGATCAAAAAGCAGATGCAAAACCAGAGGCTTGAATTAGGCAACTATGCTGGTCAGTGTTAATGGTGTTACATCATGTCTAGGGACATTATATTACTGTTTCATTTTTTATAGGCATAAACCTTGTTTGGTTCATTTTTGTGTAATTGTCCTTTAATCGGTAACACCAGTGTTTTCAAGAGTTCATTACCCAGTGTGAAAGTTTCCACTCAGTGACATCCCGAGGGTGAAATACCATTTTGTAAGATGGCCATGGAGGTTGGGATCAGTCCGGAGCAAGTAATGTCAAGTATAAGCATCAGGTGCATGGAGAGATTATTGGGACGGTACATGTACTGGAGGTCATGCCCAGCCAGAAGCACATGATGTCAGGGGAAACAGGCAGAGTGGGGGCAGGCATCATGGGCAGGTCATTGCTGAAGGAACACACACACACACACACACACACACACAAACACACACACACATACACACAAACACACACACACAAACACACACACACATACACACAAACACACACACACAAACACACACACACATACACACAAACAGACACACAGTTGAGCACAGGTGCTGCAAATATTCTGATACTCATCCAAGAACAAAACTCAGCCACTGAAACGGGAGGACAATGAGGCCAGAACCCATTTGATTTGAGTGTAGCATGTGTGTCTAATCACAGATGTGGTGGGTTCAGGGTCATATGTTAACGGATCCAGGTGGGTTCAGATCTGACTTGGAGATAATTGAAGGTAATGGATCAGGTCCGATACATAGTTTTGAGGTGGGGGTTTTCAAAAGTAGAACCAGCTGCCATGTTCTCCAGCTGACTCTGTCTATCTGCTGGTTAGTGCTGAGCAGGATTTTCTATTCTGAACACTGGGATCTGCAGAATAACCAACTCTCGGAGCTCAAAATGATGTAAAGCCCCATAAAGCTGAGAGTCTCCTTTTACATTATTCATTTGATCCATTGTTGTTATAAGAATATCCATCATATTTAAGTGATTAACGGAGAGTAATGACAGCGTGCCTTGTTTTTGGAAAATCACTCACTGTTCTCAGATGCTATTAATGATGCATTCACCTGACATATGGCCTGATTAAACATTGCGTTAACACTGTTAATACCTAAAAGTATCAGGAGCTGTGAGCTTGGCCCTCGCGTAGGTAGTAGTGTTGTATGATGTCTCTCAGTGTTTGGCAAATCCTGCAAATTTTAATGAGGTTTAATAGGGCCACTACCCAATCAACAGTTTGAATATTAAATATTAAACATTTATTTGTATGGAAAATGCTTTTTTTTTAAATAAACCATTAATATGTTGATAGGAACTGTTGTTTTAAGTGTAAATATATACTTTAACATCGTTTTTCTATCTCACAAACAAATGCATACACACACAATAGTTAATTACAAAAACAGTTAAATCACAAAGTGTTTTCACAGAAATTCCATGCAAATGTATTACAAATGAGCTCCGGCACAGTTTTTAAATAATCCAGGTTTTTCATTCGCCCAGGCAACCTACATTCCCCAGTGGCCTGGATTAGCAGAGACTGAGCTTCTGATGTCGCTGATCTGATCTCAAACCGTCCTCGTCTGAACCCCAGCGTGCCACCGCAGCCATGATTAGTGACTGACACTGCTGTCTCTTGGGGAATAACAGGGAGCTCACCCCCTGGCACTTCTTAGCCCTCATCTCAATGAGCAAGTCTCGAGGGAATTGCAGGGATATCACCTTCTGACGAGGTCGTGGATGAGGCTAATGTTCCATCTGGGTTTCTTTGTGGTCTGTCAGACAGTGCTAACCACTAGTTTAATTTAAATAGTAGAAGTGTGGCATTTGTATGTAACTATAGAGAAGAGCTGGTGGAAGTTAACGCTTGTACTTAAGTCAGATTTAAATGTATGTGGCCCCAATATATCTTGATTTAACAGAAAATAATTAAAAATCAATAAATAATGTTTTTGCACAACACTTCTAGTCTTTGAGCCGACAGAGCGAGTGGTGCAGTTTTGATTAGCAAAATACTTGTAATACAAACACAATCTCAAAAATGTATCCAATTCTGCTTTATCAAATTAGATTAGACATCTAGACAACAATAATTCATCTGCTAATTTCAATTACTGTTGAATAATAAAATGAAATATTTATAGATTAGCAAAGAATGTTTTAGACAGTGAATAATTCCTCAGACATTATACAAACAATAAGGAGAGGAAAATGTAGGACGTATGCAGATACCAGAATATGAATTTATAATGAATATTCTTTATTGCTATAAATATACATATGAAGTGAAGAATCGGTTTCCCCATTACCATAAATGTACTGTATAGTTGTGATGATGAAGTGATGACCAGTTCTGTTGCAGTGCGTCTCACCATAACATTGTAACTGAGAAAAACTAACAAGCACACATATGGTGTATTTATAGTATTCAGTCATTTGTGCTGGCTGTTTGACATAATATTACATTTCCTCCTTCCCTTCAGTAAAGGGCAGCAAATGCCATAGGCACGACACATTAAGTCAGACAGACGTTTGATGAAGACAAGGAAGAAGACATTTAGAGTGGGAGGCAGTCCAGAACCTTGAAGTGGGGTTTTTAATTAGCTGGATGTCCATGGTGCAGTCCATTATCCTGTGAATCACTTAAAGGGATGTGCTTTACACACTGTAATGCTTATTGACAATGCTGTTTATTAATGCACGCCTTAGTACAGTATGTTGGACCTTTCTGAAAAACTACTACTACATTTTCTCTATTTGAACCACAGACTGTATATGAAGATAAACGACACGACTGCCTCTCAAAAGTGAAGACAAAGCATCTTGATCGCCTTCAGGTGGCTGGCTGCAGTGTCGGTCATTCATCCTGCCTCCTCCATGTTAGTAGATAAAACATGGACCGAATTAAAAAGTCAAATCTATTTTTCTGAAAGATGGGTTCTGTTATGTTCAGTAGTTCTTATCACGGTGATGTATGTTCAAGTGTTCATTTAGGTAAGTTTTAATTGGTTTTAATTAGTTATTGTGCTTTGAAGAGGTAAAACCTATTGATTGACATCTGAGAGTGATTGGTGAATCAGCAGGACCTCGCTCCTGTGACTCCATCCCCCAATCGCTACTGTGCAGAGTCTGGCTCCAAATGCCCAGGATGGCGCTGTTCATGAGATATTTTAACTTAATTTCTGGATAATGGTAAGAAGTGGAGATGTGTTGTCCATCTTTATAAACTATGGTCAGTAACTCAGATGCTACATTTCTTGGAGAGAACCTTCACCCTGGCAGAGGAGTTAAAAAAACTTCAGTTCCAGTTTTCTGCACTGGTCTGGAGAGATAGAGAAACAATGGATCTCGAGGAGAATATTGAAATGTAATAGAAGAGCAGCACATTGTTCTTTGCCAAGAGCAAAGATCCCACAATGATCAAACTTTGACAGACATGACGTGAAATAATCATTTATGACTCATTTTATATTTTCAGAGTGGACTTAAACAGTGGTGACTGTGTTGTAAGCACCTCTAATTGATTAGTATTAGTAATACTAAGTATTTTGACGGTGAAATGTCAAAGTCATAACTGAGGCTCCCACTGCTTTGCTA